ATGTCGTGACGTATTGAGGCTTTTTTTCTATTGCCGGCAATGGGGTGGGTGCAATTTTGCCATGACACATCTGGCCCGCAGGTCGGCAGTTTGACACTCCTGCTCTACATGATTATTTAAAATTAAAATTAAAACAAAGCTGAATTGAGCTCTGAAAATTGCTGAAAAGCACCGAGGAGTTTAGCAAAGACATTGAAATGCAATTTGGCATGGACATATGTGAAACAATTGCTGTTAAGACAGGAAAATTGTTGAAGATGATGGATTCGGATTTGATAATAAAGAGTTAATAAAAGCAGTAATCACCAGAAGAAGGGTACAAGTAATTAGGAGTTTTGGAAGCTTCTGACCTGGTGCACAACCAAGTCAAGGAAGCTACTTCCAGAAAATACATAAAGTGAGTCCAGAAAATCTTGAGATCAAAGCTGAGTGGAGGAAATATCACAAAGGCAAATAACACCTGGGCAGTGCCTGTAATATGATACTGAGCTTGAATGATTGATTGGACTCAGCTAGAACTTGATAACTTGGATTGAAAGACCAGAAAGTTAATGACAATGCACCATGTTCTGCACGGAAAAAGTGATATTGATTGATTATATCAGGGTGGCAGAGGACTCTTACAGATGAAACAAACTGTGAAAGAAGAAAAACATGACTTAGGTCACTTTGCTGAAAGAAATGAACAAGGAAAACTTCTTGAAAACAAGACTGAAAGCAGAATATCCAAAGGAAACAATTGCCCATTGAGTTTTTAATTGAAAAAAGAAGCCTATGCATAGTCAATATCTGAAAGACATTGAAGTAAAGGCAGATACAAAGCTAAAAAATGGAGCTGGTTGAGATCAGTGGTGCTGAAGAAAGAAACTGAAGGTTCCATTTTGGCTGAAATAAAAGCAAAAATTCAACATGTCAGTAACAAAAATTGCTTATGCGATGAGAAGGATGAAACCATGGATCACCTTATCAGTGGCTGCAGTAAAATTTCACAGACTGTCTACAATGTCATGATCAAGTTGCTGGAAGCTTTGCCAGAAGTTTAGATTCAAATGCAGTAAAAATCACTGGGAACACCAAGTTGACAAAGTTCTTGAAAATGAACAGATCAAGATCCTGTGAGACTTTCAGATCCAGACAGACATCTGGCCCACAACATGCCTGACATCACTATTGTGGAAAAGAAAAAAAATCTGGTTCATTGATATTACAATATCAGGTGAATTGAAAAGAAACAGTTGGAAAAAATAATAAAATTCTGATTTGCAAATTGAAGTTGAGGGGTTGTGGAGAAAAAAATCAATAGTTATACCAATAGTAATAGAAACCCTTGGAGCAATATCCAAAGGGCTGCCTAGATTCATGGAAATTTTGAACTTATTACTCCTGAATATTCTGACCTTGCAAAAAAAAAACTTACACTACTCAGAACTGGAGGAGGAGGAGAAGGAGCAGGAGGAGGAGGAAGAAGAAGTGATTAGCCTGCAGCTTCAAAGAACTCTGGAGAATATAAATTATTTGAACATCTTCAATCTGATTTCAGAATTGGGTTACAGTCCAGAACTGCCTTGAGTATGCTTACAATACTATCAACCCTGCAAGGTAGTCCAGATTAAGAAACTCATGCCATAGAATATGAAGTATAAACTACTTCCATAATGGTGTACTTCAGGCAATGTTTTGTCTTAACAGAGCAGGTAAAAGTCTATACAATGGTGACCAAACTGGATATCTGAGATATATAGAATGGATTATTTTTAATAACCACAACCAAAAAAATCACACAGATCCAACAAAACCACTTCCAGGAATGCAGTTGACTCCCAAACATGGAGCCACCTTAATAGAATCGGGACAGGACATGCCAGAACTAAGACAAAGCTCTTTAAGTGTGAATGGCTGAGAGCCTGCAATGCAACTAAGGTGCACTGGAACAAACTATAATATATATAGCTCAAGAATGTACGCTCAGGAAATTCCTAAGCACTTGGGATAATAATCTGGAAAATCTGGATGTCCTTTCTCTGTTTATTTTTATGTGAACTAGGGAGAGGCTTGTCTGAGTCATTTTCTCAAGTTCCTTTCTTGGTGGAGGGTGCTCTTCAACTGTTGTCTTGATAGTGGTTCTTCCTCCTGTCCTTCAAGACCATTCTCTCTGTTTTCTACAGATACCCTCTGGCAAGAGCAGAATAGTATGCCCATTCTTGCTCTTCTTGACTTCTCAGCAACTTTTGAGACCATCATTCATAATATTCTTCTCAATTGGCTTCAGGAGTTGGGAGTTGGAGGCACATTGTTACATTGCTTCTTCCTCCAGGACATTTTAAAGTGTTGATTGGGGGCAGATATCTAGTTCAAAGCATTGGGTTTCAGGACTGAACGGGACTCTTCCCACTTTTATTTAACATCTACTGAAGCCACTGGGTGAGGTCATTTGCCAGCATGGGGTTAGATATCATCAATATGCTGATGATACTCTGCTTTGTATCTCTGCTCCTGGCCTATGAAGGGATGCAGTGGAAGTTCTGTTTCATTTTCTGGAAATTGTAGTGGTCTGGATAGGGAAACCAGTCCCCACTCATGTGTTAGTCACCTTCCAAATGGATTATTGCTTTATATAGTGCTGCCCTTGAAAAGCATCCAAAAGCTGTAGCTGGTGCAGAATGCAGTGGCACAAGCAGTTATGAATGTTCCTTGGAATGCATATCACATCACTGCTCCACAAGCTGCATTGTTGCTTCTATGCTTCTGGGGGCAATTCAAGTTTTGGTTATTATATCTGAAACCCTTCATGGCATAGGGCCAGGTTATTTGCAAAACCGCTTCTCCCTCATTTTTTCTATCAATCCTATTGGATTCATGAGCCATATTGCAGGTCTCCTTGATCAAGGACTTGAGGAGCAGGTCTTTACAATTAATCAGTGAAACAACCTGCCTCCAGAAGTGATGAATGCTCCAACACTGGAAGTTTTTAAGAAGAAACTGGACAGCCATTTGTCTGAAATGATATAGGGTTACCTGCCTGAGCAGGGGGTTGGACTTGATGACCTCCAAGGTCCCTTCCAACTTTATTATTACTATTATTACTACTACTACTACTACTACTACTACTACTACTACTATTATTATTATTATTATTATTATTATTATTATTATTATTATTATTATACAGTACAGAATATTGTACCACTCAAAATTAGATTGGCTCCAACCCTGCCGGTTTTTCAGGAGGCTTCAAAATATGGTTATGTTCCCAAGCATAGAATTTGTGTTAGCAGAACCCTATGACTGTCAGAAGAATAAAATTGGGGTTCCAACTTGAGGTGGGATTCCACTAGAACAAATGAAAATGAAATCCAGCAGCTATAGGTAAAGGAGATTTATTTATTCCCACAGGTTTCCCTGTGGCGGTAGCTACAGAGAAAATGAGATACAAAAGTACTGTTTTATAGGGGAGTGTGTCATTGGTGTAAGTCTTGAGGGATGTGTACGTGTATATGTGCTGGTTCTAGGGTGACACTTGAGGGAACTGGATGTGTTGACCCCTGGCCAAGGGGTAGATTAAATCAAGTGATGTAGATTGAGTCTCTTCATTTGAACTACAAGTATTATAATTATATTTACATTGTGTTAAGTGTTTAATTAATTTTTTATGTTTGCTGTGATTTTCAAGAATTTCAAAGGCCTTTAATCAGTATTTTGTTGGAATCTGGGTTAGTTAACGTATGATTCCCTATACAATATTTCTAATAGTTATATAAATGTATAAATTCTTCTCACATGACTGATTGCAAGAACACTGCAGCATTCCCACTTGTCTCCCGGCATCCCCTTCCACCAGGTCCTCAGAAGCCCGGAGGGTGGGAATCGTTCCCAAAGCCTGCAGGGGCCACGAGGGGCAGAAAATGGAGCAGAAGGCCCTTGGGGGTTTGAGGAGGATTTGGGAGGTCCAGGGCAGATGGGCCTCAGTCTGCAGTAGATCTCAGGTCCTCTTTTACCCCTGAGGCACCCCAAGTTCTACTTAACAATCTGCACAGTCACTTAAATGGATGGGGGAGGGAGGGAGGGAGGGGGGAAGGAAGGGAGGGAGGAAGGAAGGGAGGGAGGAAGAAAAAGAAAGAAAGAAAGAAAGAAAGAAAGAAAGAAAAGAGAAATAAATAAATAAATAAATAAATAAATACATTTCTCCCACATGATCTCTCCACATCATATGGGTAATGATGCTATTGACTGAAGTGGGAGATTCTACAAAGCTTCCACAGGGTGTATCAGTAGCCATGGTAGCATTTCATATGCAGTAATATTTCTGGTACTGTCACTATCTGCTCTTCCAGCACAGATGTCAATCTACTGTGTAGGGATCTCTGGGATCTGATGGCTAAAGCATCCCTTTAAAAAAAAATGAAATTGTTGGCTGTCAATACTAATTTAACTGCAAATTGGGTTACATGTTTGTATCTATTTAGTTTAAGGATCAAGCCAAAGTCTATATACTGTAAGGAAGAACAATTATCCACATTTTCTACTTGGTATTCTTTTGTACATTTGATTTCTTTCTAAGGTGAAACGATCCAAATGTTGCTATTTTTCCTCACTGATTGTGCTTTTTTGCAGCTGTGCAATATCCCTTTTGTATGTTGGATGTGTCTCTGACCAGAATTGTACATAGTATTACAAATGTGAGTCTATTATTGATGATCTCGGGCCAAAGACAATTCCAGAAATAATTGTTGGGTAAATGATGGTGGAAGCCATTCTTAATAGAGCAAGTATTTAATTCACACACTACAATCTGCATTCTGACTGAAACCTTATAAGTATTTTGGAGAACTCTTAATTCCACAGAGTCTTCCCTGGCTCCTTGAAATAATCTTATAAAGTTGCACTGTTTTTCCCATTGGATGGGGAATCTCTTTTATGTCATGTTATAGTGGAATGAGCTACCCCAATATCCCATTTATGGTCCATGTACCTATGAAATAAAAAACTTCAAGAACCCAGAATTTGAGCAAGCAATATTTAATGATTTAAAATCAACACAAAACCACCTTGTATAATTGAATTTCTAACTTGAAGCTCTTTCCCCATCAGAAAAGTATGGACAGAATTGCAGCCAAGATAAACTTAGAGAAGAGGAAGTTCTTGCTTTTACAAGGAACTGAAGCATGTTAAATGTCATTGAACTAATCTATATAGTCATTCATATTGCATTAGAATTAGTAAACATATGTCCTGCTGCAAAATATGCTTGAAAGTTATCTCAAATGCAATCAACTACAATATGCTTTGCCCAAGAAAGGCTCTTTCCCTTATTGCAAAATGCCTTATTAAATTTTTAATTATTCCACTGAAATTATATGAACATTGATATATGGCATGGTTTGTGAATTAACGTAGCAAGACAAATCTTTATCCAGGCTTTTCATTATGCCTTATATTGACTCTTTCAGAAGGGTTGCTTAAATCCAATACAGGTAGTCCTTGACTTACAACAGTTCATTTAGTGACCATTCAAAGTTACAATGGTACTGAAAAAAGTGACATGACTTTTTCACACTTATGACCATTGTAGCATCCTCACGGTCAACTGGCAACTGACACATGTTTATGATAATTGCATGTCCTGGGGTTATCCCCTTTTGCAAGCAAAATCAATGAGAAAGCCAGATGCACTTAACAACTGTGTTACTAACTTAACAACTGCAGTGATTTACTTAACTGTGGCAAGGAAGTTTGTTGAATGGGGCAAAACACTTAACAAATGTCTCACTCAGCAATAGAAATTTTGGGCTCAGTTCTGGTCCTAAGTTGAGGACTACCTGTATTGCAGAGATCCATAAAAATGCAGAAATAAAAATCGCTCCCGTTTTTTCCTAAAGAAAACGCTTTAAAGGATTGCTGATATGTCTTGCTCTCCAGTAGAATGAGAGTATGTGGAACTGGCCCGTTCCAGAGGTTCTCGATAGAGAAAGACACAGTATTTTGAGAGATGGTGACCACCATGTTTTCGGAAAAAGGTAATAGTGTATTTTCTAAATTTCTCACCAGCAAAAGCATAGATCACAGGATTGATACAGCCATGAGCTATTGCAAGTGTTTCGGTCACTTGAATTGCTATATTGATACTACTTAACTTGGGGCAGCCATCAAGGGATAACTCATTTTGGAACATCTGGAGTAGAAGAACAATATTGTATGGGGCCCAGAAAAGGAAATAAACAATCATTATGATAAAAATAAGTTTGACTGCTTTGTTCTTCTTGTCATTTCTGCATCTCAGCAAAGTGTTTATGATGCATGCATAGCAGAAAATCATAACGATCATTGGAAAAATCAAGCCTAAGAAGTTCAGTTCCAGTGTAAAGAACACGTTCCATCTGTTGTAAGTTTCAGGAGGAAAATTAAAAAAGCACCTTTTCTTTTCATCTTCTTCTTGTACCCCATAAAAGACTATTCCTGGTGTAGAGGCTAGAATTGCCAGGCCCCAGGTGATAATGCTTGTGATGATGCCATAGAATACTGTTCTGGCTTTTAATGCAAACACCGCATAGACTATTGCTAAATACCGATCAATAGTCAAGAGGATTATGAAAAAGCTTCCACTGTAGAAGCTTAAAAAATAGATTCCAGAATTAATTTTGCACATTGCATCTCCAAATACCCACTCATCTACCTTAGAATAAATCCGAACTGGGATTGAGAAAATGAAAAGCAAATCAGAGATGGCTAAATTTAATAGGTATATATCAGTCATACTCTTGAATTTCTTATATTTGATTAGAATTAGTACAACTAGCATGTTACCCAAAAAACCAAAGATGAATACCAAAGAATAAAGAATTGGTAGGACACTGGAATCAAACATTTCAGCAGCCTGTGCATGGCATGGTGTTACTGCATTGCTATAATCGTATTCAGTGGTGGCTGTTACTTCATTTGTTTCATTTATTAGATTATCCATCTTGTTCCCTGTTACTGAAAAACACAAAGTTGTTTACTATTAAAAGTAGACAATACAAAACTTTTAAAAATTTTGGAAACATATAATAATAATGCCATATTGATTTCCATATATAAGAAAATACACTGAATTTTCACTAGAGAAAGAAAAGAAAAGATCACCCTTCATCTATATAAATGTTACCATAATTGGGATGAAAAATTGACTTACTGAAGATTTGCAGTGCTTTTTCTTTTTCTTTTTTTTAAAGGTGCCGGAACTCACACATGTCATACAACCTGCCTTGCCTACCATCCAAAAAAGGTGCCGGAACTCCGTTCTGGGCATTCCAGAACCTGACTAGCCCATTGTACCAATTGAAAACAGTTGTATTTTGAAAGATACAACAAAATAGTGAAAACTCTGTATATGCTAATTGATCTGTAATATGTTTTACAGATACATTAAATGGCAAGTACATCCAAATGAAGTTAACTTTCCAAAATTTTGGATCCCAAGAATTGAATTCATTTAACAAAAAGTCAGATTTCACTGGATATTAATCACTGATTTTCATATTTTTACATTAAATTTACATAAAATATCTGAAAAGAGTCCATTTTCAACTTATTAAATCCTTCTACTATTAAAGGAGTAGCTTATATAGCTGTATGGCTGAAATGTATTTGGAAAGTAGCTGAGAAGAATGTGAGTCAGAATGAAAATTTGTTTTCCCACAGCTTCCAATGGATTCTAGTAGAAGCAGTGCTGGGAGTGGTGGATTTCCTTGAACTACATACACTATTTTCTGACTCCCCATTTATTTATTGTGGGTTTTTATAATAGTGAAATTTTATAATAATATCAGGGTTCCCATTTTGTACAACTATACTACAATTTTCATTCTACAAACAGAAGCAAGTTGATGATTAGTACTGAGATCAATCAGACCAGTTTCTTTTCCATCTTATCTGATTTAGAATTCTGAAGAATCAGAATTTCCACAGTCCTTTTTGCCTTGATAAAGTTTTTGATGAACATAACTAATAATTATATTTTTCCTTCACATATTAGAATAGTTATTTTTATTTGTTATTATTACCTTAATTAATGGCCAGAATATAAATTAATTAATGGCCAGAATATAAATTTATGAAAAGAAATAAAGAAAAAACTATCACAATCATGTACTTTCATAAAACATATTTGGGCTTCAATGTTACTCACCTAACACTTTTCCAATGGAATTTTTATTATTCTTAGATTTGCAAGAAGGACATATTCCTGTGGCAGGAGTTAATTGAAGAAAATAGTCACAAAGGCTTGTATGTACATGTTCCCTGAGGAATGAAAGAGAACAACACCATCTGATGTTGGAGAGAGAACAGAGTTTTAAAATAGAATTAGGGGAACTGAGAACATTCAGAAATATCTCTACATTAATAGTACAATTGTACTATGCTCAGAGTCTTTAGGATTCAGCAGTCATAATAATAATAATAATAATAATAATAACAACAACAGCAGAATAGATGAGAAAGAACTGGAGAAGATAACAAAATACAAAGACCTACAAATAGAAATAGAAAAACTGTGGCAAAAGCAAGCAAGGGTAGTACCAATAGTAATAGGCTCCTTGGGTGCAATCCTAAAACAACTGGAGCACCACTTGAACACCATTGGCATTGACAAATTCCCTATTAGTCAATTGCAAAAGGCGGCCTTATTAGGAACTGCTTCCATCCTGCGACGATATCTGTAATACCATCAAACATCCACATCTGCCTATCCCAGGTCCTGGGTAAGGACTCGATAGGTAGACAAAATGCCAAATCCAGTCTGAACATCTGGCTGACTGTGTGATGATCCATAATAATAGCAGAGATATACAACCTCATTTGGAAACCAGGCACATCTACCTCAGGAAGAACAAAACCCTCTAAATAAAGAAATAAAAGAATTGAAACAAAGAATAACTGAGCATCTAGAACAGCACAAAAACAACAGAATAAGGCTGCCTGCATTGAAGCTTGTTCCAAAGAAACAGCTAGCACAAGCATTAAAAGATGCAAATACTGCAATATCAAATATAAGCACCAATTCACTGCAAGAAACAAACCAACTAATGTACAGCACAACTGCAGTTATAACTGAATACCTGGGATGCAAAATCAACAAAGAAGAAAAACCAACAAACAGTGCACCACAAAAATGGAAGGTTAGACTAGAAAATAAGATCAGCAAGTTAAGATCACATGCAAGTAAGCTAGAACAGATGAAAGAAAAGAAGCTGAAGAACAAGAAGACCAAAGAATATCTAATCAAGAAATACCACTTAGAAACAAGGAAGATCAAGGAAGCACTGGAAATAATAAAGCAACAAATAACAGTTATAGCCAGGAAAATCAGTAGATATGAAGCTCGAATTGCAAACTATAGGCAGAACCTCCAATTTCAATCCAATCAGAACGTTTCTACCAATCCATCAATGGAGAAACTGCAAGGAATCAGTCAGTACCTGACAAGGAAGAAACAGTACAGTTCTGGAAGCAGATATGGGATAACCCAAAGAAATACAACAAAGATGCGGCTTGGTTAAAAGAGGTGGATGCAAATAAAACAGAAGTTGAAATGAAAGAACTAGTAATAACAACAAAAATGGTAGAAAAAAGAGCAAGGAAAATCAAAAATTGGTCAGCCCCAGGTGAAGATGAACTGCATGGGTTTTGGTTGAAACATCTAACTATTATATACCCACTCATTGCCAAGCAATTCAACAATATACTACAAGGAGAGAAATTGAAAAGTGGCTAACAACTGGGAAAACCTACCTAATAATGAAAAATCCAGCAAAAGGGGCAACACCAGGCAACTACAGGCCAATTACCTGCTTACCAACAACTTTCAAATTACTAACTGGTGTGGTAGCTGATGCAGTACAACAACATCTAGTTGAAAACAATCTCTTTCCACCTGAGCAGAAAGGAAACCGCCCCAATAGCAGAGGAACAAAAGATCAACTCCTAATAGACAAAATTATCTTAGAAAACTGCAAGAAAAGGAAGACCAACCTGAATGTGGCATGGATTGACTCCAAAATGCATTTGACTCTCTGCCACATGACTTGATAATCAAGTGCCTAGAAATAACAGGAGTCAGTAGAAACATCAAAAAATTTGTGCAAAGATCGATGGCACAATGGAAGACACAGTTGCAGATCAATGGTGAGAGGCTGGGAGAGGTTAATATCAAGAAAGGAATATTTCAAGGAGATTCATTATCACCATATTACTATTTGTTATTGCACTGTTTCCTTTGTCAACAATACTGAATAACTCAGGACATGGCTATCAAACATCAAAAACATTTGTCAGACTATCCCACCTCCTTTACATGGATGATCTGAAGCTGTATAGAAAAACATCATCTGAAATAGAATTGCTGCTCAACATTGTCCGTATATATAGCCAAGATATTGTAATGGAGTTTGACTTGGACAAATGTGCCACACTTACTATCAAACAAGGAAAAATAGTGAACACTGAAGGAATCAAGATGCCCCACGAAAATAACATTAAGAGTCTGGATGAGGAAGAGTACTACAAATACTTGGGTATCCTTCAAGCTGACAACATCAAGCACACTGAAGTCAAGAAAAAGATTAGAGGTGAATACATCAAGAGAGTGAAGAAGATCTTAAAATCCAAACTCAATGGAGGAAATACCATAAAGGCAATCAACACCTGGGCAATCCCAGTCATTAGGTACACAGCTGGAATAGTGGACTGGACTCAAGCAGAACTAAAAGCAATGGATAGGCAGACCAGAAAAATAATGACAATGAATCATGCCCTTCATCCACGCAGTGACATTGATAGACTTTATCTACCAAGGCAAATAGGTGGGCGTGGAATGCTACAAGTACATCAGATGGTTGAAGAAGAAAAAATGGCTTTGGAAGAATATCTGAAGAACAATGATGAAGATGCACTGAAATTAGTATATCAGGAAGGCTTACTAACTACTGGAGAGACCAAACTGGCCTACAAGAAAGACCAAATGAAGAACAGAATAGAGGCATGGGAAGACAAAGCACTACATGGCCAATACGTGAAAAAAATAGCTGGGAAAGCAGATAATAATAAAACCTGGCAATGGCTAAAAGCAGGAAAATTGAAGAAAGAGACTGAGGGACTAATTCTGGCTGCACAAGACCAACCTTAAAGACAAATGCATACAAAGTCAAAACTGAGAAGACAGCAACAGACAGTAAGTGCCGCCTATGCAAAGAAGCTGAAGAAACAGTGGACCACTTGGTAAGCTGTTGCAAGAAGATTGCACAGACTGACTACAATCAGCGGCATGACAAAGTAGCAACAATGGTGCATTGGAAGATCTGCAAAAAATATCATTTGTCTGTAAGCAAAAACTGGTGGGATCATAAAATAGAGAAAGTCTTAGAAAATGATAAAATTAAACTGCTCTGGGACTTCAGAATTCAAACAGACAAGCACCTGAAACATAACATCCCAGACTTAACAATTGTCGATAAGAAAGACAAAAAAGTCTGGATAGTGGACGTGGCAGTGCCTGGAGACAGCAGAATAGAAGAGAAAGAACTGGAGAAGATAACAAAATACAAAGACCTACAAATAGAAATAGAAAGACTGTGGCAAAAGCAAGCAAGGGTAGTACCAATAGTCATAGGCTCCTTGGGTGCAATCCCAAAACAACTGGAGCACCACTTGAACACCATTGGCATTGACAAATTCGCTATTAGTCAATTGCAAAAGGCGGCCTTATTAGGAACTGCTTCCATCCTGCGACGATATCTGTAATACCATCAAACATCCACATCTGCCTATCCCAGGTCCTGGGTAAGGACTCGATAGGTAGACAAAATGCCAAATCCAGTCTGAACATCTGGCTGACTGTGTGATGATCAATAACAATAATAATAATAATAATAATAATAATAATTGCACATATTATTATTGTATGATAAAGTTGCAAGTAGAACAGAATGATGAAGAAGAAAAAAGAGCAGTGAAAGAATATCTGAAGGACATGGAAGAAGATCCACTGATACTTGTATACTATGAAGGCTTACTGAGCTAAAGAAATCAAAGTGGCCTCTAAATAAGATCAAATGAAGAACAAAAAAAAGACATGGCGATGCAAAGTATTACATGGCTGGTACATAAAGAAATATGTACGCAAAACAAATATTAAGACCTGGTAATGGCTAAAAGCAGGAAAGTTGAAGAAAGAGACAGAGAGGTAATTGTGGTTGCACAAGCCCTAAGAAGAAATGCATACAAAGCCAGATCTGAGAAGACAGAAACAGACAGCTACTGCCACCTTTGCAAAGAAGCTGAAGAAACAGTGAATCAGCTGGATAGATGCTGCAAAACATGTCACAGACTACAAGCAGCGGCATAACAAAGTAGCAACAATGGTTCATTGTTGCAAGAAATATCATTTGCCTGTAAACAACAATTGGTAAGACCACAAAATAGACAAAGTAATAGAAAACAAAGAAGCTAAAGTGTTTTGGAACTTTAGAATTGAAATAAAGCAACACCTACCACGTAACACCCGAAACTTAATAATTGCCGATAAGAAAGAAAGAAAAAAAAAATCTGGCTAGTAGACATGGCAGCAACTAAAGACAGCAGAATAGGGGGGGAAAAGAACAGGAGAAAAATCATAAAATATAAAAATCTACAAACAGAAGTAGACATGGCAAAAGAAAATAGTAATAGTAATAGAGGCCTTGGATGCAATTCCAAACCATCTGGCACACCACTTGAATATGATCAGCATTGACAAAATCACACAGTCAGTCAATTGCAAAAGGCAACTTCACTTGGAGCAGCTTATATCTTACAATGATATCTTTAATAATATTAAACAACATTTACCTATCCCAGATCCTTGAGAAGGACTTGATAGGTGTAGAAACATACCAAATCCAGTCTAAATATCTAGCTAACTTCAACCAGCCATAATAATAATAGTAATAATAATAGCAGGAAGACCAAGAAAAGCAATTTATGCCTGAGTTTAATTGTGGAAACATCATGTAAAGATCTCCAGATTTTGTATTTAATAGGATATGAAGAGAACTATTCTGCAATTTCATCAGGCTACCAGAATTTAATTGCCTACATTTTAGCATGTGATCTAGTTGCTCTATATGTGGGCAAAATCATCCCACCTATAGGTTTCTGAGTAATTCATCTGTACAATTGAACCACAAATTAAGAAACAAAGAGGAGGGGCACTTCAAGGTCTGAATCATGACAGAGTCACGGGAAATGAGACCTGAAGAAAAGGA